ATTTTTTTGAAAATTTTGGCCCATTTGACCTTGAAGTAAAGGTCAAAGGTCAAATCCAAGGGTATATTTGAAATCTACACATATGACTTTTGGAAAGCCGTCTATAGAAATTTTTCCCATAACTCCTTCCGTAGGGTAGATAATTAGCATTTAATTTTGCCATTTTTAGACAAGGGTGCATTGCAATGAGTGCCACACCCAGACCCCAATACCGACAAAGCCCAAATTTTACGTGGAACGAGTTGAGATTATAGGTGACCTAAATCCATGAGATGGGTATGGGGGCCCTTACCGTCTAGGAGGAGAAGCGGTAACGGTAGCCGTCCGGCGGAGCCGGCGGAGCCGGCGGAGCCGGCGGAACGATCCGGACGGGACCGAAACCATGTGTACCGCCAGCGCTAACGCTGGTGGTACAATAACAAAACACTGCAATACAAAACAGCTATAACCTTCTCCTGAAATTTCCATACACAAGGACAGAGACAAGCTATATTACATTTGGCATAAAAAGAAACCCACAACAGGTGCAGTTATGTGATAAAATGGCCATACATCAAATCTTCAGTACATCAACAATCCCTAAAACATACCTCAAGTACCAAGTGATGAATGAAATGCAGTCAAATGGAACTAACATTCATATACTAATTATGTCCATAAAATGCAATTACACTGTTAGTACTGTATTGTCCCACCAGGGAGATTAACCTCATTCTAGCTGGAAGAGCCTTATGAGACGGGTCAGGAGTAAAACAATGTGTACTGCCAGCACTTACACTGGTGGCACAAACAGTTAACTGAGCACATGTGACTTACCAAATCGTCTACAATAGACCCCAAACACAGCAGAATGGTCCACGATTCTGAGATCACACATCATGGCTAACTCCATGCCTCCAGCAACAGCAAAGCCTTCCACGGCTGCTATCACAGGCTTGGTCAACACCATACGACTTGGACCCTGAAGACAGGATAACAAGTAGCTAATATGACGTCCCCTTACTGTACTAACATAACATATTAATTTAAACTTTTGTCATTATAATTATTTCATTTGCTGAAGGTAAACAACATTTTTGATACTATATGTGCTGTTACCATGGGCCGGTATGGTTTTCTTTACACTTATTTGTATATTGTGTTATTACCATGGATATGGTTTTGTTTACACTAATGTTTATTATGTTGTTACCATGGGTCCTGTGCCTCTACTTTCAGGGTCAGGTAAAAGCTGCTGGGGGTCGCGCTGGGACACCTCCTCCAGGTCTGCACCAGCGCAGAAGTGACCACCTAGGACAGATAACAAAAACTGTGAGACAATGACTTCATTTGAGTCATAAATAAGGTGACCAATGAAATAGAAATGGTATTTTATACAAAAATAATTAAATCAAAAGTTGGTCAATGAAATAGAATATGGTATTTTATACACAGGGTTAACAAAATGCCCTTTAATTTTAAATCAATTAAAATAATATTTATTTTTGCTCAAGTTATTTCTTCTAAGCTTTTAAAACCAATTTTTAATCTCCACTAACCAAGGATTCAGTGGTGGTAGATGTAGATATTTCACAAAAATGAGAAAATTGAATCCATTAAAAAGTGAAAAATGGCAAAGGTTGCCAACAATGTGACAAATACAACTGTTATAAAATGAAATCAAAATAGTCTCTTTCAGTTAACATAGATATACTTCCAATCCTATACAGTTTAGTGATTATCGAGACACTTTCTTCTGGGAATGGAAGACAATTCATCAACTGCATTAATGCTGCAGCATGCAATGTTTTTCAATAAGAGAGCACAGATATTTGGAAACATGGCAAATCCAACTCTCTTTGGCTTTCTTTATCACTGATTTCCACATACCTATTTTTATATCATTCTTAACAATTTTTTTTCAATATTGCAGGAGAGAGTAAGAGAGTAAAATTCTGAACTGAAAAAACTGAAGTTTTGCCAAGCTGTAATACTTGCCAACAGTCAAAATTTGAAATAAATAAATAAAAGAAAAATAATTTTATGAACTTCCTACCACGGCCATGGAGGACAGCCACATGAGCGCTGTCGTCATTCAGGAATGCATCCATTGCTCTGGTCAGCTGACTTGCCATCTTGGCGTTGACGGCATTTCGCTTTTCTGGCCGATTGAGGTGAATAATGACCACTGGACCTCGTCTCTCTGTCTCTATATAATTAGAACCTGGAAATAAGGAATAGTAATTCATTAATATTTCAGTATCTTTTCTCTTTCACCCAATTACTAGGGCAAGGCACAACATGCCAAATACTAAATTTGACTTCAAACGGCTAAAGAAAATTCTTTTTAAAAGTGCATTGTTTTCCTTGAAATGTCCTCTTTGCACACAAAGAGGTCAGTCACTGTTTTTTTTTTTCATGGCCACATCGTAGAATTTTTGTGCATTGTTATCTACCGCCTCTCCTTTTAGTACTTTTCTCCACACGCTCTTTTTCACCTCTCCTCCAATCCCATCTATTGCTCCCTTCCCGTGTGCAGTTGCAAAAAAGCTCCAGTCACATGTACAACTGAAATCCTCTTCACGAAAAAGGAGCTCGAGGTTGCTGAAACTGGATTTTTTTTTTAACTGTGAAATTGCACCGTCTGACCTTTAGTGCACGTGTTTAATTTCCACAAGGCAGTTTTCTACTAATGTCATCTATGATGTTCTTATTAAAAGCATAAACATTATGTTTGTCATGTCTGAGCTCATCTGAAACTATACTGTAGGATCTCCCTAACGAAAAAGTCCTATAGGATCCTATAAAATCCTATAGGATACTATAGGAAATTGGAGGTTTGACTTGTCATCTGGTCTGTAATAGACAATGACAGTGAATTCAGTTACTTGGTCAGAGCACCAATGTGCAGACATTACTTCTCCTTGCTGCTTAATACCATAATTTTCTGCAAAATCTTCATGAATAATAACATATCCTGGTTTCAGAGTACACTTGAGTTGCAGCCTTTTTTTGTATCATATTCATGGCCAGAGAGTTGTTGCAGTTGCTGATAAAGTTCACATTTTGCTGATTCTAAATCACCTTGGATGGGCGTCCTCTGCACCTTTCCAGTGGTTGTTCTCCACTGATAGTAGAGAATTTCTCGTGATAAGTCAGCTTCCTCAAGATAGTCATCTAACAGCTCTACACAACACAAGTGATAGTTGCTTGACAACACTGTTGTGTTGCTGTCTTCCAAAGCGTATGAGAAAGAACATCCTCACACTTGGAGGGAAATGACGGTACAGCGCGGTGAATGGCAGTGATGAGAAGGGAAGCATTTTCTTGACATTTGCAGGAACACGCTTCATGATCGTTTTCAGTCAGAGGGAGAACATATGGCGGTCTTGGCTCTGCAAATTTGGACTTCCCCACTGGATGATCTGGGTGTTAGCTAGGGTAGATGTCATGGGCTTCATGGATGTTCATAATCATTCTTTTCTGCTTTCTTACTTTTCCATACGACAGTTTCAAAGTGATACAACCTTTCTTTCCTAGGCACACTCTGCTGACATCATCCCATAGGTAAAAGTTTTGAATGTTGGCCACAGTTTCCTTTGAGAGCTTGTCCGTTCATTCCTTTCTTTACAGATTATTGTTATAGTCTCCTTTTTGCATTTGAGGAGTCACCTTGTTCTCTTAGGTGTCATTTCTTTGTAGATTTTAGCTAATACTGTGGCATGTCCCTCCCACATGATTTTGGTACCTATTGTTTGAAGTTTTCTCAGTAGTTACGAAAGATAAAAACTTTTTACTTCATATTCTCCTCAAACATGATGTGTGTCAACAACCTATAAAAAATCTGACTTATAACATTTCAGTGGGTTATTAAATCAAAATTAATAAACTGTTATAGAAGGACATTTCCATATTAAATCCATTATTTTCTAATCGAATAAATTTTCATGTAATGCACTTGGCATTATGTAAGAAATAACTTATATTTAATGTCTGTAGCCCTTATCATTAAAAAAACATCAATATATTTTAAAACTATATCAAAAATGTCCTTCCTAAACTCTATTTTACAATTTTTCCAGATAAAAGTGTTAATAAAATCACAATTAATCATCAAAACCTACAATTTCTTTTGGATTCTGGTGTCTAGAGATGTTTAGTTTCAAAATTTATAAGTTTCGTAAGTATAAATCTTTTTTGAAATTTTAAGGTCTTCAGACTAAATACCACGGAATGGCCCATGATTGATTTGCCATGTTTAAGTCAAATTTAAACCATCTGGAGTAAAAGGCAGTGATTAAGCTGAGTGAAAAATTGCTAGCTCTACCCCAGCATCAAAAAATTTCATGGAAATGTACAAGTGCAAAGATGACATATTATTTATGACAGTAGGTACAAATGTTGTGAGTCATGCAAGTAGCTGACTTTTTTACCTGTAGCATGTTCAAATCTTTTTATAACAAACAAAACTCATGGGCAACCTTTGAACACCTCAAATAATATATACCAATGTTCTTACTTTTTTCAATATTTATCATTTTACAAGTATAAACAAAGACACAATTTGCTACTCAGAATTTTGTATTATATGCCATGTTATGAGAAATAGCAATGATGCGAAAAATTTTAATGCAGTCTTTCATAACATAAAAATGTCAAAGTAACATATTCTAAACTAATGGACCTTGTCCTGGTCAAGTCAACTGTGACTCTAGTCAACTTTAAGAGCCTACACTGTTATGACAAGTGTCCTGCCTGTCCTCACTCATAGGCAGTTGAGTAGTAGTAATTAGTAGTAATTGAAATGAGTTAATTTTTTCTTTTTGAAAGTAACTAGTCTTATTCATCGTGATTGTTTAATAGCTATATGTTACAGTGAAATAAACTATGAAACCATGTCCTGTAGATCAAATAAACAATTCTGATGATCATGAACAAACAAGCACTGGCACATTTCTGGATAAAAGTTACACCAGACATTATTGCCAACAGTCAACCTATAGCACATATCATAACGTAAAATATGTACTAATGTGAACTCTAATATGTACTAGTATATATATATATATATATATATATATATATATATATATATCATACCAGATGAACTTTCTAGGCTGTTTTATATCTAAACCAGCTATTTACTATAACTTATCACTCCATTTCATCTAAAGTGCACATCATTATAGCCATTTGGAATACATGTCCTAATTCCGGTATGGACCGTTTTTTTTTTTTTCATATTTCTGCTGTCAACAACTATATAACAACACCAGGATTGCTTTAAGACTGACAGCATTTTAAGCTATTAATGTGTCATATTTCTCAATGCTGCCCATGTTGGCAACAAAGCAGGTTATGGAAAATGAACATCATTAAAGCCATATGAAATGCCCTAATTCCAGAATAGACTGTTTTTTTTTTCTTTTTCTTTCTTTTTCTTTTTTTTCTTTTTGGATTTCAGCTGTCAAGAACTACATAACAACAGCAGTTTCCCTAAGAATGATGGCATCTTAAGCTATTAAAACATGTCATCTTTTTCAGTGCTGCCCATGTTGACCAAAAAGCAGTTTAATCAATTCTACCTTGGTCATGCAATTTAACAATTTTCAAAAAAAAATTCCCCAGGGCATAACTAATGTTTGTCTTAAATTCCATACACAGTATGAGTTATATAGTAAGGATATATGATACTGACTTGATCTTTTCAAAGGTGAAAATTGTGAACTTTACAGATATTGTCTTATTTAAAGGTCATAATTTCACAAAACAATCTTGAGTGGAGGAAACAAAAATAAATAAACAGGCTACTGTATATAAGTACTACTGTATTCTATGCAATAAAAATCCCACAAATATGCTTAACAGGAATATAAATCTTTATAATTATGTACCTTAATCACTGATAATTTTGACAAGGTTCAGTCATTACTGAATAAAGTTTTAAGAGCTTGGAATCTCATATCATTGGGGACTTCCACCAAAATAATCAACAAAATGGTATTAAAAAATTTTTTTTTCTCATCGTTTAAGTACCTAGCACCCTGGTATCATAGTTTTACACCATCCACTTAGTATAAATACATCAGGAGACTGAAGGCAAATCATTGCAAGTCACCATACAACCAAGGTGTTAACATGACCTAAATATCAATAACAGACACACTTACCGTCATCTTCAACTCCATCTTTCCTTGAGAGAGGAAAGAAACAGTCCCCTATCTCAAACCTCTTCATGGTAAATATGAGTGACCAAAATACTAGCAATGAGAGGCAAGCCGGATCTGTGCACTCATATTAAATAACCATAAAATGTTCACTGGTCTGTGCATTCCACTGACAGCTACCATAAATAATTACAGCCGGGAGGCGGGCTTTTCTGACAGATATTCCTGATATGGAATTTTCCGCTTCGAGAAAATATAATAGGGTATTTTCCAACAAAGGAATTTAGACAATTTAAGCTACATGTATTTCCATATGATTTTCACCATGGTGGTCTTAGAATATGAATTTTTTGGTTTCAATCTGTTTTTGTCTCAAAATCTCTCTTGATGAAATTTTGGCAACAGAAGTGTAGACAACAACTCATAATGATTAATTCACCAGGCGATGACTAAGCTATCTTCCGGGTGAATTTTCTCCGCAATTAATGTGTTTGTCCTGACATCCGAGGTGAACCAACTCACGCTCATGCAGCCAACCCTTCCAAAAGACAATACAAAGTGAGTCTGTGACTTTTTAAAGTTGTCATGAAATCTTGTCACACAAGGAATTCTTCTATATAAATTATAGTATTTCTTCAAGCAAATCTGCTTTAAATTTCCACCTCCTTTGAAATGAACTTCTGCAACAAAAATGTCTTCTTAATTCAGCCGCATGCCTAGTATAGTCATCAGTTAGTGTGTCCTTAATCAATAAGACTGCGAGGACCCTGTACTGGCCCGAGGACCCTGTACTGCCTCACTTCCCGCTCAATCCAATACATGCAAACCTCATTACATAACAGTCCTAGAATACACAAACTCAGATTATATAACTTTCAGACTTAATTTGACAAGTGCCCTGAAACTAGCATTGTGCACTTTCCAATGCAGTAAGGTCCTAGTAATATTGTGTTATATAGTAGAAATCTCAACTTAAATCAATAAAAACTCCAGTCTATATGGAATGACCTATGTGATCTACAGTTTGTAGATGTTATCCCAAGTCATTTACAATAGG